GGGACGGGGGNGGGGGGCCGGGGGGCAGAGAGGGTTAGTCACGGCAGCGCCTGGTCGATTCTGCTGGGTTCGGCGCTGGATCGCCGGAGCTTCTCCTCTTCAAGAGGAGCCGCAAGCAAACGAGCTTCGCGTGCGTGTTGCTCGCAGCCAAAGTTGGGCAGCGTCGTGTCGTACCGGTATCGCATGGCTACAAAGGTCGGCTGGCAGGTCGCTGGCCGCAGGCCGCAGGCATGGGAAGAGCCGAACGAGATGGACGAAACGGAAAGTGAACGAGGGTCAACCGGATCGGTGCTTCTGCTGCTGGCGTCCATCGGTCGCACTGTCGAGACAGCTGAATGTCTCCTTGTACGGGCGGGTCGCTTGTCGCTCTGCTCGCGGCTGTTTTTGATGGTGCTGTGCCTGTTGCCTCTGAGCTGCTGAGCTGCTGTTGTTGTTTGTCGCTTTCTGGTGTCGAGGCGGCCCTCGTGTCGTCGCTGCCGATGTCCCATAGCCTCAGCTCCAGTCGCACCATGGGCGGTGAGCTCGTTGCTCTTGGATGTCCGCGGGAGCTGCGGCATGAGCAAAGACGGCCCTAGGCGATCCTGACAATACCGCCACCCTGTCGACTGTGGGCGCTTCCGGCCGAGGGGATGACGTAGACCGGACCACCAAGAGAGAGCTGGTCGAGGACCCTTGCGAAGTCGTCGTAATCCGGCTCGAAGTCAGAGTCGTCATCGTAAAGGTAGTCGTCAGAGGGCTCAAAGAGGTCGAAGGCGTCGAGGACGTGGCCGCGGAAGTGCTCGTAGGCGGCATCGATTCGCTCGTTCTCTGCCACCCTCTCCTTCAGATCGAGCCGCCTGCGTTCGAGCGCAGCATTGCGGCTGATCGTAAACGAGGTCCTCTCCGCGGAGCCGTCGCTGTCTTGCAGCTCGTCTCGCTGCAAGACGGAGTCGAGGTGGGCGAAGATGCGGAAGACGACTGCAAACGGGGGCGACGGGCACACGGTGGAAAACGGAGAGCGTCAGCCGGTGCAAGAGAGCCTGCGTGCGCTCGACGAGACGATCGCCCTTGCGCCCCTGACGAGCGGCGGAGTGTTTAGCAAGATCGTACTCACCCTCCCTGGGCAGTCGGTTGAGGCGGCAGCGTGGATCTTGGTCTGTCAGCTGCAGCGTTGCGTCGCGCAGCCAGTCGACCTGCTGCGGCACGACGTGCGAGCTCGAGAGCATGGGACGAGCAGGATCGACGAGGGAAATCTCGAGGATGGTGAGGTGACCGGGCTTGCTCGGGTCGCAAAGCTTCAGCGAGCTCGAGCTACGCGCCGCCATGGCTGGGTAGGTGAAGCAGGCGCCCGGTTCCGGCGTGACGCTCCCGATCTCTTGGGGATAACACGCATAGGCATCGTCGACGGAGAAGCCGAAGAGGTCCTCCAGCTGGTGGTCCTTCAGGTGGCGGTACTTTGCGGCCTCCATGCTGTCCTCGTCCACCGCCACACGGAAGAAGCTGGTGGGAGGCAGAACGTTGTCGCAATCGAGGTAGTAGATCCCTCGCGCGCAGATGCTTTCGTAGGGCATGCCCTGGAAGTGCCAATCCTCGCCCTGCTTCTCGGGTGCGTTGGGAGCGAGATCGGCGCGGATCAGCCGGACGACGACTTGCAGCTCCTTGCCGCAGAGGTTGACCTTGCGCAGCGGAGGCGGGACGAACTGCCTGACTGTCGGCCGCCAGCGCGACTTGGCGCTCGTGTTGGCAGCTGGCGCCGAGGATGACGGAGGGCGTCCGGCATCGTTGCGTGGCTGGACAGGTCGCTTCCGCTGCTTGCTCTTGCGGACGTCCTTCAGAAAGGCCGTGTCGCCACGGAGCGGGGAAAACGCCAGGGTCGCCTCGAAGAGGGGCAGCATGGCGGCCAAGGCTCGGGCGATGGGGCCATAGAGCTGACGAGAGGCATCGTCAAACGGCGACAGGCCGTTGATGTACGAGAGGAACGACGCCCTCGTGCCCGCCTTGCTCGTGCGCACTTCGGCTGGGATCCAGATCGCGCCCTTGACCGCGCGCGTAGATGGCGGCGTCAGGGACTGGGTCGTGCCTGACGTGAGGGGGTACGGCGGCTGGATGTCACCGACGGCGGAGTCATGGTCGGGCCCAGCGGCAAGGCTGGGGCGCAGCTCCTCCAGGTACTCTCGCGCTCGGGTCGAGAGCTTGCGAGCAACAGTTCGCTGCTTCGGCTGCAGGTGGGTGTAGTCCGTGAGGGCGTACATCGAGGGATCGACGAGGAACGACAGCTGCGAGCTGAAAGAGCTGCAGTCAGGACAGCATCCGAGGCTCGCATCGCTCACCGAGCCCGCGAATCGGTCGACAGCATCCCTGAGCTCGGCGACGGCTGCGTCGTCCAGCGAGCCGCTGCGATAGAAGACGCCAGGGGCCCCCGTAGGTTGAGCAGAGGCGGCAAAGGGGAGCGTCGCCATCCAGCGTAGCTCGTCCAGTAGGTAGGCGGCCATGCCCGGTGTGAAGCCGTGGGTGTCGACGAGCTGCTGCCGCCATTTCTTGATGATCGCGTCCTGCTGGATCTTGGTCTTCCACTCCGCCTCCCTGCGGACAATGTCGCCGATCTGCTCCCAGACGGCCAGCTCGTCGAGCGTCATTGGCTCGTAGAGAGCACCCTGTTGTGGTGCAGAAAGCCAATCGAAGTCAGTCCCGGTGCCGCAAAGAGGGACGAGCCCGCGTTGCGCCGCCCCGGCAAAGCCGCGGAGGTTCTGGGACACTCACATCGCAGTCGGGCAGGCTGAAGTAGCCGGCATCCTGCAGGACGAGCTCGTTGCGGGGTGGCTTCGGCAGGACGACCACGATCAACAGCGCCGCCAGCGTGCAAGCATCCTGGGCGGTGCAGCCGTGCTGCTGCAGGTGGCTGAGGATCTCGTTGAAGCGAGCACGGTCTCGAAGGCGCTCCACGATGCCGCGACGCTCGTTGGTGCTCTGCGCCGTGTCTGCGCGGTCATCCTTTCGCAGGTAGACGAGAGACGCTCCCGGGTCGATGTTGCTCGAAGCAATGCTGCGATACAGCCTCTGCGACTTCTGTGGGTTCGCCTTGCCGCGTCCCCGCTTCGGCTTGCCCTTGCGCTCGTCGACAGCGACCTGCAGAAGGCTTCGCAGCGCGCCGAGGCCGAACGCATCCAGACAGGCGGAAAACGCCTGGTAGGACGCCTGTTTGACCTTGTATGCTGGCAGGTTCTTGGCGGTCTTATCGACCAGGGTGCTAGGCATGCCAAGCTGGGCTTCAGCGACTGGCACCTCGATGCCGTTCTCGATGCAGATGAGCACATGGATGAAGCTGCGGGCGAGGCTGGGAGGGCAGCGCACGACGTAGAAGGGGATCTCGCCCGAAGCCAATCCCATCAAAGCTTGATGAAGCTCGACCGAGAGCTCGACCACAGTCGTCATGGCGATGACAGAACGCGGCCGAGCAGCTGGGTGGAGGGAATTTCGTTGGCGGGGGGTTGGCGTCGTAGGTCAAGGATATGGAACGAGAGATCTGAAGGAGGCGGAGGAGAAAGATGAGGGCAGGGGAGGCGAGGACAGAAGGCGGGGAGGGCGGAAGGCGAGGAGGATGGAGGCATTGAGCCAAGAGGGATGAGGCCAGCCTCGCCTTTTTATGAACCGCGGTGGCGGCTGCTCTGTTCAGAGGGCGCGCCCGCCTGCCCGCCTGCCCGCACGCACGCACGCACGCACGCACGCACGCACGCTCCAGCGGGAACCCGCTCGACTCTCTGCCGGGCTGCCCTGCCTGCCTGCCTGCCTGCCGTTTGCTCTCTGACGGCCCGTGCCCCCGCGCTGCGCGAGTCGGCCCAGCCTCTTGAGCCTAAACTGGCGGCCGGCCTGAGGCGCGATAAGCCAAGCGCGGCCGCTCTCCGTACGCGAACGGAGAGGCCGGCCAGGCTTCGTCCGCATCGGAGCGGGCCGGACCCGTTTCGGCACGGCCGAGGAGCAAGGCCAGGCTAGGCCTGGCCAAGGTGGGTGGGCGCAAGCCCCAAACCTTTCGCCTCGCTTGGCGGCAACCGTCGATACACGAAGTAGACTGCTCAGCTGCCCCGCTTGGGGACGATTCGGAATGAGGCGCGGCCTGCCGCCGATTTGAGACCAGCGCAGGAAGCTCCGGCGTTCGCCCCGAGTAAGTCAGAGCGCGCTAGAGTGTCGGGCTAGGCAGCAGCGAAGCCAGAGTTTCTCGCTCATCGGCACGGAGCGGAAAGCAGCGGGGCCACGACGAAGCCCGGCCCAGAGCCAGAGGGGCGCCGGAGCACATATGGCCTGCAGCCAAGGCAGAGATAGAGCGCTTGAGCTTTTGCTCCTGCCCTCGAGACCTTCGAGCGCTTCGGACAAGGCGGCATTGATCTTGGGCTCGTATGGAGCGGCCGCCCTCGAAAGCTAGGCCGGGCCGTCATGTCTTCTTTCTGACTGGTCGACAAGCTTCGAAGAGGCGCGGCAATGGTCCCTCGGCTTTGCTCCACAAAGAGGACGACTGCAGGCAGACCGGAATGATACACGGACAAGCATGCTCGAGAACAAGATCAAGGGCAGTCGTGATTGATCGGCGGAGCAGCAGGCTACTTTCGGACATGGTTCGACGTGGGAGGGCGCCTGCTCTGCATGGTATCGAGCGGCGCGGCCGTGGTGAAGGAGCAAGGCGAGACATCTGGAGAGTCGAGGGCGGGGAGCCACGCGGACTGTTGTCGCCGGTGCTGTCCTTTCTTCTGCCGCGGCTATTGGTCATTTTCGCCTGCTCAGGAGCCGTGTCGTCCTTGATGACGGGGGGATCGCGCCTCAAGCTCCAGAGGCCTCGCTTTGATGCTACTGTGCTGCTCGTCGTTATAATCGATGCTGCATCGCTCCTACCGCTTCGCCGCCCTTCTCGGGCCTCCGCCGTGTCGATCGGCGACTCGGTGGCTGTCTCCGTCGATTCCAATTTTTCACCCTGGCTGGCGGCATCGTCGCCTTGAGACCAGGTCGAGCCCGACAGATTGGCCGACGCAGCGGGCGAGTGGCGTGTGCTGGTTGGTTCCGTCTCGATCAATAGCCGTCGTCGCAGTCGTCATGGTCGTCGACGTAGCCTCAGAATCTGCTCCTCGCGCGGTTGCCGGAGCGATTGGCATGGGTGAAGCCGCCCGGAGGAAGACGGACACCGAGCCCTGCGAAGCGGCGTTCGAGCCTTTCCTGAGAGTCGCGATAGGCCTCATCCGCGTATCCCCGGCCGTACTCCTCGTCGAAGGCGGCCATAATCTCGCAGTCTTCAGACGCCCTTCGAGCTATGTCGGCACTCCTGCGCTGCAATGCGAAGGCGCGGCTGGCCAAAAACGTCGCTGGACGAGCCGAACGCGCCGTGGAACGAAGCTCGCCTTGGCCGACATCGTCCTCGAGCGCCGCGAAGATGCGATGAAGGACTGTGCGCGGCGCCACGAGAGAAAGAGAAAAAGCAGCGATCATGTCAGCGGCTGCTTGGTATCAGCGCGCTTTTCATCCGCCATCTCAACCTTCTTCTGCGCATTGCACGATCGCGATGCTTGAAGATCGGCACGTGACACTACTCACTCTCGTTAGGCAGTCGGTTGAGGCGGCAGCGAGGATCCTCAGACGTTCCCTCCAGCGTCGCGTCACGTAGCCAATCAACTCGTTGAGGTACAGTTCTCGTGCTCGAGAGTGTCGGTCGCTCGGGGTCGACAAGGTAGATCTCCAGTGTGACGAGGTGGCCCGGCTTGGTCGGGTCGATCAGCTTCAGCGGGCTCTCCTTGCGTGCCATGAAGCCTGGGTAGACGAAGCAGCCGCCAGGCTGCGGTTCGACGCTGCCAATGTCTTGAGCGAAGCCGGCGTGGAGGTCCTCGGACGAGAAGCCGAACAGGTCCTTCTTCTGATGATCCTGGAGGTGCTGGTACTGGGCGGCATCCCAGCACTCCCCGTCCACCGCGACGCGGAAAAGGCTTCGAGGCGGGTGGACGTTGGAGCACGCGAGATAGTGGATGCCGCTCGCGCAGATGCTCTCGTCCGGGAGGCCTTGCAGGTGCCACTTGTGCGAGTGCTTTGCCGGCGCCTTCGGAGCGACGTCCGCTTTGGTCAGCCTGACGACGACCTGCAGAGTCTTGCCGCAGAGCTTGACCGTACGCAAGGGAGGCGGCACAAAGGATCCGACTGTCGGGCGCCAGCGAGAGCTGCCGGTGCTAGCCGGGGACGGCGCCGCCATCCGAGAAGACGAGGGGCGCCCCAGCTGGTTGCGCACCAGGTTGTGTCCTTTGCGGCGGCTGCCCTTACGAAGGGCCTGCAGGAACGCCGGGTCGCCTCGCAGCGGGGAGAAGGCCAAGGACGCCTCGAAAAGAGGCAGCATGGCTGCAAAGGCCTTGGCGATGGGATCATAGAGCCGGCGCGACGTTTCCGTGAACGGCGAAAGGCCGTTGACATACGAAGCGAAGGCGGCTTCTGTGCCCCTGCTGCTCGTTCGCACCTCGGCCGGGATCCACATATATGTGTACGGCGTGCAGTCGATTCGAGACCTGAGCGGCTTTGCGGCGTCGGACGAGCGTGGGTACGGCGGCTTCATGTCACGTTTGACGAGCTCAGCTCTGGACTCGCTCGTGGTGCCGAGGCGGAGGTCCTGGAGATACTCGCGGGCTCGAGCGACGAGCGATGAGCGGACGATGGTCTGCTTCGACGTGATTGGGTGCGGTCCGTCAGGCCATATAGCGAGGGATCCACGAGATGGGTTCGCTGCGAGCAGGAGGCGGAGCAGCAATCCTTGCAGTCCTCGGGCGCCTCGCCATCGCAGTCCGCGTAGAGGTCGACAGCTTGACTCATGGCGGCAAAAGCGGTGTCGTCGAGCAAGTCGTTGCAAACGAAGACGCCGGGGGCTTGCGTGAACTCGACGGAGGCGCCGAAGGGGAGCGTCGCCATCCAGGACAGCTTGTCGACGAGGTAGATGGCCATGCTGGAGGTGAAGCCGTGTGTGTCGACCGATCGCTGCTTCCACTGTTTGATCGCCGCCTCTTGCTTGACCTGGGTCCTCCAGTCCGGCTCGGAACGGATGATGTCGCCGATCCGACCGTAGACGGCAAGCTCGTCGCGAGTCAATGGCTCATAGAGGCCGCCCTGCGATGCGAAGTCGGCATTGTCCTGTCAGTCCTGACGCCGACCGAAGGAAGCAGTAGGGGCAGAGTCTGTCGAAGCCGGTGTCGAGACACTCACCGCCCACTCCGGCAAGCTGAAGTAGCCGGCTTGCAGTCGCTTGAACTCGTCCCCTGGCGTCACTGGCAGCAGGATGGCGATCAAGAGCGCCGCGAACGAGCAGATGTCTCCGGACGAACAGCCCTGTTCGTGTAGGTGAGCCAGGATGCGGTTGAACTTCTTGCGGTCACGGAGGCGATCGCTGATATCGCGGCGCTCGTCTTCGGTCATTGTGGCCCGCGACCTATTGATCACCCCCAGGGTCATGAACGGGGCTTCAGGTTCCACAGCGTTGCACCAGGGGTCACGACCCTGGCTCTGCGGCTTGCCTGCCTTGCAGGCGCCCTTCGAGAGGGCCTTGAGATGGTTGTGAGCGTCTTGCAGGCGCCGTTGCAGCACGCGGTGGCCGAAGCGGCCCAGGCAGGACTCGAAGGTCAGGTAGGCGGCCTGTTGCACCCTGAAGTCGGGCTGCGCAGGGGGAAGCGAATGGGCCATGCCGTTGGGCAAGCGGAGGTTGGCCACGGCGGCGGGCACGTCGACGCCGTTCTCGATGCAGATGAGTGCGTGGACGAAGCTATCAGCGAGGCTGGGCGTGCAGCGGACGACATTGAACGACACCTCGCCCGTCGTCATGCCCATCAAGGCGCGGTGGAGTTCGACGGAGAGGTGCACGGCAGTCGTCATGGCGATGAGCGCGTGTGGCCGGCTGGCACGCCGGCGGGGTCGAAAGTCGTGGAGCGCGATGACCGATGCCGACGTAGGTTGCGTGAAGGATGTGAAGGCTCGAGTGCAGAGGAAAGACGAAGGATGGTGTGGATGGCGAGGGCGGTGGAGACGGCGGACGGAGGTGCTGGACGTGATGGTGTGAAGGAGGCTAGAGCCTGGCTCATTGCGCGCGGCCAGACGAGGCCCGCTTTCCTCTTGGATCCGTGGCTGGGTCGGCCTGGATAAGCGCGGTCCTTGCTGCGCCCAGCCACACACGCTCGCGCGCTCGCTCGCTCGTCCTAGCCGCCTGACTACTGCGTGTCTTGACCTGCTCGGACGGCGCTGAAGCACGGGCCGCCAGAGCTTCAGCCAGCCTAGGCAGACCGGCAGAGAGCCTGGGCAGACGGGCGGGCAGGCATGCCTCCTGACGGTTCGGCCCGCGCCGCGACCAGGCGGGGCCGGAGCCCGCTCGGAGACGCCTCCTTCGCATCGGGGCGGGCCGCGCTCGGGACGGCCGAAGAGACAGGTAAGTTGGAAGCAAGGCAGGCAGGCAGATCGAGACCAGGCTAGACAGGCGAAACTGGGGAGGGCGCCAGCATGCGTCAAATGCTTTTCGCCCCGCTCCGTGACGACCAGCGCCCCGATCGATGCCGGCCACGCTAAGCTGCGCTTGCTTAGCTTCCTCCTGGTGCCGCCGAAATGAGGCCGGCCAAGGTGGGCCGTCGGGTCGTAGCCGGCGTGGGAAGACCGATCGAACCTGCTTTGCTTCTCGTCGACACAGCTTTAATTTGCAGGCTAGGTCAGGTCGTCGCGCGGGTTCCAGCCGGAGCGGACAGACACGCACGCACACAGGCTAGGCGGCATGCGGTAGCAAAGAAGGTTCTTGTTCGTTGAGATCAACGGGCAGGGAGCGGGTGGCAGCAGCGCGGCACACGGCAGATCCGCCCTCAGAGCCAGAGGTCGCGCTCGAGCCGCTTGAGCACCTTTGGCTTGCGGCCGCGGTAGAGGGCGGAGAGCGTCTCGGTCTCCCTCCAGAGCTCCTGCTTGCCGTGGCCTCGGTCGCCGTCCTGCTTGGAAGAAGGCAGCGGTACAAGCTCAAAGTCGATGACGAGCGCGCTCTGCTCGCCGCCGTAGGCCCGCGAGATACCCGTGTCGATGAGGAGGATCTCGGCCGAGGGGCAGCGCATCACAAAGCCGTCAAAGTGGGGCGTGTGGCCCATGACCAGGTGGCGGACGCCGAGCGCCGACGTGGCCTTTTCGGCGATGCGGCAGGCCTCGGGCTCGTCCTCGGTGGCGTAGCCGCGGTACCACAGCGGGCCGCTCTCGCTCCAGACGGCCTGCTCCTCGGGCGTCGTGTCTGGCGGCAGCCAGCCGGACGGCCTCTCCTCGTCGAGCCCCTTGCGCAGCAGAGACTTGGCGATGCGGTTAATCTCGTCGATGCCGCGTTCAGCATAGGCGGGCGTGATACCGCCATGGACGAAAGAGGCGGAGGGAGGCGTGTAGCCCTTGGGCAGGCCGGGGTGGTCGGGAGGGAGCAGGGGGACAGTGGTGGTGACGTTGTAGTCGCGCAGCCATTCCTGACCGATCCAGCCCTGGGTCGACATGGCGGTCCTCCTCGCGGCCGCACCGCCGAAGCTCTCGATATCGCCCTTGGTCACGTAGCGCCAGTCTCCGAGCGCGTTCATGACCTCGTGGTTGCCGACGAGGTTGCGCACCTCTCCGCCCGCCTGCTTGCTCTGCATGCGCAGGGACCGGAAGAGCCTGTAGAGCTTGATGGTGTCATCGCCCCGGTCCACAATGTCGCCCGTCGAGACGAGCGTGTCGTGCCCGGCGATCCACGACTCAGAGGTGGAAGAGACGAGCGAAGCCATGCGGAAGACGTTGAGGGCATGCTGCGGGGAGACGACGGCGTTGATGTGGTCAGCTTGCCGTCCTTCGCCCGTCTCGGCCATCGTGCCGCACTGGAGAGCTCACCTCTAGGTCGCCGTGGAGGTCGGCAACGGCGACGGTCCTTTTGCTGATGGTCCTCCGGCCATCCTTGAGCGCCTTTGCTGCCCCGAGGCTGCCAGTGCTGTGGTCTCCTCCGCCTCCGCCGCCGCCGACGTCGCCCTGGGCAAGCTCGACGGGCGCAAACAGGGAGATGCGAGGCCCCGCAAAGTGGTAGAGGCCGACGGCGAGCAGGGCGAGGAGCAGCAGCCGTGGCCTCGAAAGGATCGACATGCTGGGCTGGATGTACCAAAGTGGAGCAGATGGTGGTAGAAAGGCACGGTCTCGTCCCGAACGAGGCTTCAACCTACGCTTGCCAGCGAAACACCCACACGTGGCAAGCTCGGGAACCGGACAGCTGCATGCGTCGGCGCGCACGGCCCGCCCCCGCAGCGGAGGCGGAAGGGTCTACGACGAGGGTGGTGGCGTCGGGCAGAAGAACGGGGCGAAGATGCTAGCACGCGGTGCCGGTGTGAGAGCATTGGTCGTGAGGAGGACGCGAACCTCTGCCGGCGCGGCTAGGCGATCGCCACGCTCTGGATCTCGATGGGAAAGGGGCAGAGGTCGGCGCTGATGATGGCGGGGATATGTGCCTTTTTCTCGTCGACAAAGACGAGCAGCGAGTCTGCGTGATGGCCAGGCGGTGCTCAACAGGATCAGGCTCTGTGATGCTGGATGCTCTACGAGAGACACGCCCGGGCTCACCTAGGAACTCGGCCATCTGTCCCGCCGTCGTTGACTGGAGACGCAGCCGTTCTGCGGGAGTGGATAGAAGGAGGACTGGTATCAGCCAGAGCCCGCGAGGCTGGGCGGTCGGCCGACCGGCCCTCGACGATGGACGTACCCCTTTCGCTTCTCGCCGAGACGACCTCGAAGCGGATCCTCCATGTCTCGAACGACTGCCTCTCGAGCCGCATCTTCTCCCTTTCCGCCGCGTCCTGCTGCTGGTGCTGGTGCTTGGCCGTAGCGTACCCATCGCCGTCGGCGCGTGCCGTCTCTGCCCCCGCCTCTGCAGCTTGACCGGACCCGCCCGAGAAAGCGTGGGCGAGCCAAGTGTAGGGATATCCGGACATGGTCTTTGATGTAGCCCACGACTTGAGCGACTTGGAAGCGGCCGAGACCGGGGACGACGACGATGATGCATGGGCTTCCTGGCGCTGTTGATCTGCTGGGTCTGCCGCGGTCGACTGGCCGGCTGTCGATGTGGGCTGCCTCTGTCCTGCGGTCGCCGGGTGCAGGAGGTAGACGAAGAGGTCGACGCGCTTGCACGCCTTGGCCTCGACCTGGCGGCAAAAGGCGGCCGTCTGGTCCTCGACCATCCTCTCGATCTCGGCCTCGTGTACTGCGGGGAAGGTCATGCCGAAGAGGTCGATCGTCTTTGGCCTGACGGTGCCAAACACGCGGTGGAAGCAGATCGAGTGGAGCACGGTGCGGACGACGTCGCGCAGGTTGCGGGGCTCGACGGTGAGCTCAAACTGGAACGTCTCGAGAGGCCCAACCCCGCTGCTGCCGCTGCCGCCGCCGCTGGTCGCTGCTGGCGGTGTTGTCATGGCTGCTGCGAGCCACAAAGGGCGGGCGGGGACAGATGGCGTGGGATATAGTAGATCAGATGAAAGCTGGCCGAGAGAGGAGGGGTGAGGGTTGGTGGTGGTGGTGGTGTTGGTGGACCGAGAGGCAAAGGTGCAAAGTGGGGTTGCGGCTGAGGCTCTGTTGCCTCCACCTTGACCGGCACCCCCGTGCTGCCCTGCGCTCGGTCCACGTCTCGGTCTCGTTGGTGCCAGGATTGCCTCAAACATCGTCGTCACCATCATCATTACCACCATCACCGCCCTCATTTCTCTCCTTGTCCCATCGAGCATGCCTACCGCTACCCTATCTCCTTCTACCCTCGCAACGCCCTCGTCGGCTGCGGATCGACTGCGCCAGCTCGGATACGATCCCGACTCGCTGCTGGCCCACTTCCAGTCGCAGGGCTACGTGATCGTCGACGGCGTCCTCTCGTCGACATCCGACTCGTCCCTCGGCCTCGAATCGCTGCGGTCCTGCGCCCAGGAGGCGATCCAGCTGACCCGCTCGGGCGACTGGACGGCAAGGAGGGTCGTCGGCAATGCGTTTCCGCCCTTTGACCGCGACAACCGCGACAGCTGGGGCGTCCAGCACATCATGAACCCGCAGCTCGACGCCGTCGCCCAACGAGCTCGCCTGCGCGGCGATGACGGACACGCCTCGACCCCATCGTCATCGACGCCGGCAAGAAGCCTGTCAAAGACGTTCCAGGACTTCTACTCGAGCTCGCCGCTCCTCGACATCGCATCGCTCCTGGTCGGTGCGCCAGAGGAGCGCATGCAGATGGAGCTCTTCAACCTGCTCATCAACCCAGAGGCCCACTCGTACTTTGCCCTCTCCTGGCACCGCGACGACATCAGGCCCGACGTCGACGAGGCCGAGGAGCTGCAGCGGCTGGCCAGGCCCACGTACGGCGTCCAGTTCAACACGGCGCTCTACGACGACGACTGCCTGTTTATCGTGCCCGGCACCCACCGGAGGCCGAGGACCGCCGAAGAGAGGAAGGCCAACATGGCAAAGGCGCCGCCCGCCATCCCCATCGACGGCGAGGGAGACGACCGCCGCGCCGAGCTGGAGAAGCCCGACGGCGGCTGGGAGGTCGACCCGCCGCAGACGCTGAGGGTCAGGCTAAAGGGTGAGTGCCGGGACGTCGGCGATTCCAGCGGTGGCCTGCCATGTTCGCTAACGCACGCGGGACGCTCCGCGTGCCATGCCTGACCGCCTGCAGCGGGCCAGACGGCCTTCTACTCGCAGCGGATCCTGCATCGAGCCTCGTACCTGGCCAGTCGGAAGCGGGCGACGCTGCACGCCTGCTACGGCGACATTGGCGACGACGAGGCCGGAGAAGCGGGGGGCGCCGAGCGGGCGCGCAACATCCTCCAGCACGGCGTCGAGTGGATGCGAGACGAAGAGTTTGGCGCCAGCCTGCCGCCCCGGCTCCGTCCCAGTGAGTGTCCGGCCGTTGTCGCGGCGCTGCAGAGCAAAGTCGATGGCAGCTCCTGACGATCGATGCGAGTCTCCTCGTCTCTCTTGCTTCTGATCCCTGGCAGTGTGGAACAACCTGATACGGACCGAGAAGAAGTGGGCCGAAAAGGACCTCGGATACAGCCTGGACAACTGAGTAGTAGCGGGCGGCCGAGATGATCATGATGGTGGGCCCAGCAGAGGCGGAGGTGTGGTCGAGATGCTGCTGGCAGATCGAGTGTCGACAGGTAGAATCGAGGGTGCTGGTGTGACCTGTTGAACGCCGCACCGTGCGCGTGCCAAGGGAGATGCGATGGGGGCCAGTCGCCCGCGGTGGACGATGGTGTGCGAGAGCGAGGGCGAGGGCGAGGATGGCGAGATTTCCAGGTTGGAAGGCGCCGACGGAGCTGTAGAGCGTCGAGGTGGAGGAGAGAGGGAAAGCCTGCTGGGCTGCTTGCTGGCTGCGCCGGCGGTCGAGGCAGCCGTCCTGGCCCAAGCCAGCCAGCCTGCTGCTTCTTTCCACGGCGGCCCCACCTTGCGGCTGCCCCGTTGCGCTGCCCTCGGCCATCCTCCCTCATCGCCCCTTTGCTCTCGACCACCAGCCATCACTCACCTCATCACCCGAAGCCGGCAGCCAAGCAAGTCAAGGAAACATCGACATCCTCCGACGTCGCCGTTCTCGAATCCATCCTTCTGCCCTGCACCACCTCTCCTCTCCTCTTCCCTCACCTCGCGGCCTCGCCCACGCTCCGCTCGGAGCCTCTCCACCCCGCCATGTCGGCCGAATCTCGCTGTCCGCTCGGCTTCACGGGCACGCCACCGGTGGGGCATCCCAGCGTCCCCGGCTTCTCGTCGTCGAAACCCCTAACGGAGGGCTCGCAGGGCGCAAAGACGGGCAAGGAGTGGAACCCCTACGTCCTCCTCGCCCTCGACGCCGCCTTCCTGATCCTCTGCGTCATCGTCGCCAAGAACTGGTCAAAAATCACGGGGAAGCCGGCCGTGGACGCTAGGACCAAGGCCGATTGAAAAGGGGGCACGTAGATCGATGTGGCATGGCGGCGGCGGTGAAGGCTACGCCGAGAGCACGTCGGGCTGTGCGGCTGGCTGCAAGAGTCCGCCGATCGAGGCCCCGCACGGCTTGGCCGCATCGCTTGCGGCTGGCCAATGGCTCGCCGTCTCCTGGGCATCAGGAGGCGGATGCACACACCGAGGCATCGCCACGAGACCAGCCGGGTCGCTGCCCTGCCCGCTGACCAGCTCGCCAACCATCGGTAGCCGCCTGGCGCCGGCCCGAACGCAAGCGTCCCAACTGCCGCAGCGCCTCCCAGCAGCCCGTGCGGCCACCCACCAGGCCAGTCGCCTCTTCGGCCTCGATCGACCTCAGCAGAGGAACATACCTCTGGGCAGCCCCAAAGGACTGCGATGGCAGAACATCGTGGGACGAAGAGCAAGGCGGGACGAGGCGGGAAGGAAAAAAGAAAGTATTTTGTCAAGGGAATGGAAAGCGAGAGCAGCTTGGAAAGGGAGCGTAGAGCATCTGCTGTTGGCTGGCTGTAGAGGGTTCGACGTCGCGCATCTGCTGTGCTTGCGAGGGGCTTCCGCCTCCGCCGCCTCGCTGGCAGGGGCGGTGGAGGAACACGGCCATCTAGGGCGGAACGGAGCGCGCCGTCCGTGGGCCGGTCCGCGGGGAGGACGAGAAAAGGGGGCGATCGATGTGTGCCGGGGTGGGTATCAAGGAGAAACGAGGAAATCGAGAGGTCAAGACGATCAGAGATCAGGGGGCCCAGATCTTGAGCGTCAGATCGACCGAAGTGGTTGCGACGACATTGACCGTGCGGACCTTGGATGCCGACGCCGCCGCCGCTGCTGCTCCGTTGGTCAGCGCGGGCGCCGTGCCGTCGGGCGCCGGTGGTGCAGAGGCGCCTTCGACCTTGGCTCGGCCCCACGCAATCGAGGTGCAGAAGTGCGTGTGGGCATCAATCGTCTTTGTGCACCGCCCGCTCTGCAGGTCCCACACGCGCATCGTCTTGTCGTCCGACACCGAGAGGAGGTATTTGCCGTTGGGCGCGAATGCCAGCCCGCGGATCCAGTTGTCGTGGCCGGTCTGCAGTGAGGTGGACAGGTGAGAGAGCGTAACGGGGTCTAGTCAGCGACAACGCTTGGATGGCAAGCGACCGCGGAAGCAGTTGCAGGGGCCCCTCCAACACCTACCAACGTCTTCAGGCACTGCCCCGCGCTGTCCCACAGCTTGATCGTCTTGTCTCTGCTGCCGGTAGCAATGTACTGGCCAGGCGCTTTCGCCGTCTCGTCTCTCGGCGAGACCTGCGGCATGCCGAGTCAAAGGGCGAGACAACGTCAGAGGCTGATCTCGCCGCGCCACAGCTGGCCGTCGTCGCTCCCGTCTTACTCACATTGATGCCTGCCAGCTCCCGGATCGCCGGATAAGCAGTGATGGGTGCAAACACCGCACACTCGACGACGTGCTCGTGGCCGCGCAGTTCCACCTTGGTCTCTCCCGACGAGAGCTCCCAGAGTCGCGAGGTCTGGTCGTTGGAGCAGCTGATGAGCCACCTACCGTCGTCGGAGGGCACCACGGACCTCACCCATTCGGCGTGGCCGTGGAGCGTGCGGGAGCAGTAGCCCGACGCAAATTCCCAGATCCTGACCGTCTTGTCGCGGCTCGCCGAGATGATGTGGTCGTCGCCCGGCAGGAAGCGCACCGACGAGACGCTGTGGTCGTGGCCGTAGAGGGTCTTGGTGTTCTTGAAGTCGTTGTTGGCGTCCCACACCTTGATGGTGAGGTCCGAGGAGCTCGAGACGATAAAGCTGCCCTTGCTGTCGTACTCGACGTCGGTGACCGCCTTTGTGTGCCCCTTGAGGGTCCGCTCGAACTCGCCCGTCTCCCAGTCCCAGAGCTTGATGGTCGTGTCCTCGCTGGCCGAGGCGATCTGGCTGAAGACCGGGTGGAAGGCCACCTTGGTCACGGGAGACCGGTGCCCCTGGAGCGTGTGGCGGGCCGAGCCTCCGCGTGGCACCCAGTCGGTGAGGTTGGCTGACCTCTTTGCCGACGGTGCCGCTGCCAGCTCCTCCTGAAGCTGTGCGTTCCTCGCCTCCAGGTCCATGATCTGCGATCCGCACAAGAGGCAGGGCAGCGGGAGGACATGGTCAGACGAGGGCCTACAGCGTGGGGCTCGACGTGTAGGGCATGGTCGGGAGCTTTCCGAAGATGCCGTCGTGGCCCAGAGCAGCAGAGCAAGGGTACCCACCTTTTTCTGTAACCGGATCACGCTCGTCCACTTGCGCTCGAGCAGCCCAGCGTACTTGGCTTTGGGGTCTGGCACGAAGCCTTCCTGGCCCGTCTCGCGCTGGAGCACATCGAATGCCTCGTTATAGCCATTGGTGCGGAGGTAGTCGAGCATCGACTTGTGGCTGCGTGGGTCGTCAGGGTTGCGAAAGCGAGCGGGGCCCGAGGCAGCATCCGTTGCTGGTCAGAGAAGGAACAGGAAGACCGAGCCACACGACAGGTGACGGCTGATGCGGTGCCGAAGCGACGCTCTGCCGTCGAGCGAGCACTCACAGCTCATCCTTCTGCCTTTCTGTGAGCGTGGAAGCCATGGTGGGCTCGAGGTTGGTGGAGGGCCGCCAGAGGTAGGCCGGCTTGCAATCGATAGGCGCCGGCTTCTCGAACGTGCAACAAGAGGCAGCTTGGGTTGAGAAGGGGTCTGAACCGGCTCGGCTGTCTATCGTCCTGCTCGAGGGTCGAAGACGACAGGGTCAGGACCGACCTGCTTGGCCTTTTTGGGGTCGCGGCGAGCTGGGCTGCGACCACGGAGCCAGTCCGAACCTAGACCTTGAGCAGCCCGGAAAGCAACCGATGATCCTTGGTAGCTCCGAAGCCGCGGGTCAAGGGCGCCAACAGCGCACCCGACAGGTCAATCGAAGTCGACGAGGTGGAGCTGCAGATGAGCAGCCAGCGACCCGGACGATGCGGCGCCGATACGTCGCAGCTACCGCTCCACTCCAGAATGACGCCGAGTGGCCGACGATGCGCTGATGCAGCTCAGCACTGGAGCGCTGCACGGGCGGTGCCTAGCCGCAGTCCGTCCTTCGGCGTCTTGGGTGGATGGAAAGTCGGAGCACCGTAGGCGGGCGGCGGGTGCGTCGCGGGTGGGTCGGTGGTTCCGGCAGTGCAGCTCAGCGGTCGCTCTGCCGAAGCGATGGAGCCGTGCGGGCGATGGAGCCGGGCGGGCGATGGGGATCAGCGATGGATGTGAGGAGACGATAGGCGGGGCGGCCGTTCCGATGGCAGGGCGGTGGTAGGAGCAAGTGGGGGCAGGAGAGAGAGGAGCAACGGATAGTACGTGGAAGTTGGGGTCTGGGTCAAAGCGAGGCAGCGAGCGATGGGCGGCCAGGGTGTGCGTGGGCCAGATGGCCAGGCAGGCGGGCAGGCCAGACAGGCTGGCAAGCTGCGTTGAAGATCAACACCTCGCCTCGCCTGGGCCGCTTCGGCGGCCCCCCTCGCCGCCTGCCTCTTGCCTCGGTCGGCCCCCTCAAAAAAAGCGGGCGGGCGGCAGGGAGGCTTGGCCGGCAGCTGGCCAGCGACGTCGGATGCGATGGGCTCGCCGCCTCCTCCAGCCGCACCTCTCTCGCCACACTGCTCTTGCTCCTCTCCTTCCACACCATCAATCCAACTTCGAGGCTCATCGACCCTCGCAGCGAACAAACACGCCCATCCGTGCGCCGCCTCGGAGCGATACAGTAGCAGCCACAGCAGCAGCACCGGCATGGCCCAACCATCTCACCGCCGCACCGCCATCTTGCTTGGACCACCGTCTCGAACAAGCACGGAGCATCGCCGACGAGGGACACGTCTTGGTCTGCAGCGCAGGGGCTGCTCAGGGTTTTTGGATGGATGGACAGAGACGACAGGGAGCCGGCTATGCAGTGCTAGTAATACAGAGCGTCGGCCCTCTTTGTGGACCGGCAGCCAGGAGCGAGCGCGAGCCCCGCGTCGGAACGGGTCGGTAGCACGCGAGGAGGGAGGGTGGGATGAGATGCTGCTCAGAGAAAAGTCTAGGCCGCCAGGTGCAGACGCTCCTTAGTGGCTCTCGTCGTCGCCGGGGATCTTGTCGAGCACGTCGATCTCGTCGAGCGCCTCCTTGATGATCTGGACGCCGCGGTCCAGGTCGGCCTCGTCGATGACGAGCGGCGGGGCGAGGCGGATGATGTTGACGTGCGTCGGCTTGGCCAGCAGGCCCTTGGACTTGAGCAGCAGGCAGAGCTGCCATGCGGAGCGGCCCTTCTTGCTCTTGGTCTCGTCAATGACGATGGCGTTGAGCAGGCCGCGGCCCCGCACCGTCTGCAGCAGCGGGCTGTCGATGGCCGCCAGCTGCTCGCGGAACTTGGCGCCCAACCGGTCGGCGCGCTCCGAGAGCTTCTCGTCGACCAGCACGTCGATGGCCGCCGACGCCACGGCGCAGCCGAGCGGGTTGCCGCCGTACGTGGAGCCGTGCTCGCCCGGCTGGATGCACAGCATCACCTCGCGGTCCGCCAGCACCGCCGACACCGGGTAGACGCCGCCGCTGAGCGCCTTGCCCAGCGTGATGATGTCCGGTCGCACGCCCTCGTCGTGCTGGCAGCAGAGCATGCGGCCCGTCCGTCCGAGGCCGGTCTGGATCTCGTCGCAGATGAAGAGGACGTTGTGCTTCTTGCAGAGCTCCTGGACGCGGGCGAGGTAGCCGGCGTCCGGGACAACGATACCGGCCTCGCCCTGGATCGGCTCGACGAGGAAGGCAGCCACCTCGTGGCCGTACTTGTCCAGCACCGCCTCGAGGTCCTCGGCGTGGTTGTAGCGGATCTTGAGGTCCTCGACGCCCGGCCCGACGCGGTCGAGGAAGGGCCCGAAGCCAGTGCGGCTGTCTGGGTCGGTGCTCATGCTGACGATGCCGAGGGTGCGACCGTGGAAATTGCCCTCGACGCTCAGCAGGCGCGCCTTGCCCTCCGGGATGCCCTTCTTCATGTAGCCCCACTTGCGCGCCAGCTTGAGCGCCGTCTCGACCGCCTCGGCGCCCGTGTTCATCGGCAGCACCATGTCATAGCCGAACGTCTTGGTCACTTTTTCGGCGAAAGGCCCAAAGGCCGAGTTGTAGAACGCGCGCGACGAGAGCGTCAGCTTCTGCGCCTGCGCGACGAGGGCGGCGACAATCGTGGGGTGGCAGTGGCCCTGGTTGACGGCCGAGTAGGCCGAGAGGAAGTCAATGTACTGCTTGCCTTCGGGGTCCCACACATGGGCGCCCTGGGCGCGGTCAAAGACGACAGGCAGCGGGTGGTAGCTGAGGTTTGAAGCAGCAGGTCGAGCGGTGGTCGGGCGAGGGCAGAAGACCGAGGCAAAGCCGTCAGCATGCAGCGTGCGGGGGATGGTTCGAGCCTACAGCCACGCGTGCACTCACTTGTGGGCGCCGAACTCGTGCTCGAGGCGGACCGTCTCCTCGCTCGACACAGTCTTGGACGCGGTCGAGGTGGTGGCGGTGGCGGCGGCGACGACGCTGGCGGCAGCAGTCTTGGCCGACACGGCGATGTCGGCCACCTTGTTGGCGAGCTCGGAGGTAGCGGTGGGTGCCATCTTGGACGAGCGAGTGGCTTAGCGAGGCGTGGCTGGGGGCTGGGTGGCGGGCGTGCGTGCGTTCTGAGAGCGAGAGACCTTGTGAGTGGATCGAGATGGCGAGAGACGGGGAGATAGGGAGGAGAGGAGAGGATGGTGGTGGGCGATGAGGGAGTTTCGCCCCCTCGCCACGAGGCTTGGGGTTTATAAGGGGTGGGAAGGGCAAGGCTGGGTTGGCGTCGGTCGAGCTGGCCGCTGGCAGCTGGTCCAGATTCTCCGGTTTTGCGGGGGGCAGACACCGACGGAGCAGCAGGCAGGCAGGCAAGCAAAGCGGGAAGCAAGGCGGCAGGGAGAGAGAGACAAAAGAGAGAAGAGAGGCGGGCGGGAGGTCGGGCGAGTCTTGGCGCCCAGTCACCTGGCCACGCCTGGCCAGGCCACCAGCCCGGCAAATAACCCGGCTGGCTGGCCCGCCCCAGACGAGCCCAGGCCACGCCAGGCCAGGCCCCTGGCATGCGCCGCCCGTCTGGACGCCGCGAGACCCCCGCCGCCGCCCCCGCCCACACACGCCCAAAATTCCAAACCTGCTGGCCTGCCTCTCTGCCTGCTCGTCCGCTCTGGCTGGGCCAACACCGAACCTGACGCTCCAAGATTTGCCGCCCTTGATCCCGTCTATTCGCCGTCGCCGTCACCGCCGGCGCCACACACCTCCTCCGACTGCGGCAGCTCGCAACCTGAGCTGAGCTGAGCTGAGCCAGCCAGCTGCTGGGCGAAGCGTTCGTTTGTCGGCGTCGACTCGACCCGCACCGACCCGCCGTGACAGCTTACAGCATCCTCGCCGCTGCCGCCGGCGTCGCCCTTGCTTTGTGGAACCCGGTAGGCCTCTCGCGCGTAGAGGGCCATGTCAAACAAAGGTGCGTTCCGTAGACTCTATCGATCCATCGACCTTGAGTGAATCCCCGTCGAGGGCTACATCACCGCGACCTCGTCGTCGCCATCGTCAGCCGCCGCCGCTGGGCCGGGACTGAACACTCGGAACGGATGGTAGCCTTGCGCCTGGACCTGCGAGGACCTCTTCCGGTCCATCTCGTCATCGGCCGTGGCCGACCCGGGTTCGCCTTCCGGGTCCCTCGCCTCGCCCTGGGCCATTCTTTCTGCATCGTCCGACCTGGCGCTGCCGCCGGTGCCGTCGTGCCCGTGCTCGGCCAGCGACAGCCGGTCGTTGGCCAGTCGAGCAAACGCAAGGCGCTGGTACGTGTTGAGGCTTTGAACAAACTTCTTGCCGACCGGGTGGGACGAGAGCCGCAGGAAGAAGTCGACCATGGCGCCGCGCACGCTCAGGCTCGGATGGAAAAGGCCGAAGCCCAGCGGCAGCAGCCCACCAGCGTGCAGCGGCACCAGCGAGAGCAGCTCGACGATTTGCTCGTCGGTCACGACCGACGTGGCAATGGTGAGCAGGATGCGCTCCGACTCGCCGGGCAGCAGGTGGCGCGCCCGCCTCAGGCGTCCGATCTGATGCGAGAGGTCGAAGCTGAGCAGAGGCGGCTGCGCGCTAGCCTCCAGCTCGTCCTAAGATGGAGATGGACAGCAGCACAGGACCGCGACAAGGTTGTCAGACAGGGTGGCCTTGACCCACGATCAAGGAATCGGCGGCGGCGCGCAGCACTCACCTGCAGAAGCAGCCGGTACGGGATCGATGCCCGGAAGCCCTCGACGCGAAGCTGATTGACCTGGATCTCGCGCATCTCGGCGTCGCGGTCTAAAAACACCGGTCCGCTGCCGAGCTGGCCGTTGAGGAACGGCTGGCTGTTGGGGCCCAGCTTGGTGTGGCCGTAAAAGTGCTCCTCGTGCCGCGAGACGCACTTGGCGAACGCGGACACAAAGTCGGTGATGCGCGACCGGATGTAGCGCTCGCCGTAGTGCGCCTGGATGGCCGAGCTGATGTCTTCCATGAAGAGCGTGTTGGGCGAGTCGATGCGGTGGTCGTAGATTGTGCCTGACCGATCGCGGCCAGACGCACCCGTCCGGATCGACGACGCCGACGACGCCGGCGGTGGAGGCGGCTGGGGCAGCGCGCCAAACTGGGCCGGGTCAAACTCGCTCGACGCCTTGCTGCTCGACTCGTAGCCCAGGCTGGCATTTCCGGCTAGCGAGCTGATGCTGTTGCTCGAGAACGTATCCCGCGTCATCTGCGAGCGCGCCGGCATCGTTGCTGCCGCCGAAGACGCCACCGCGGCGGCCGAGCCGGCCAGGTCCTTGGACACCTGGATCTTGCCGGTCTCCACGTTGAGCAGCACGTCCCACGCGTGGAGGTCCTCGAACCGCGGATTTGTGACGCCGGCGATGTAACCCGGCACCGTCTCGAGCTCGTCGAGGTTCATGAGGTTGGTGTAGGGGAAGGCGCGCGACGCGAAACCGCGGAAGACGGCCCCGCAGCCGCTGCCGAGCGCGCAGGCGGCAAGGACGTAGCTCGCCACCAGGTTCGCCGGCTGACCGTGGCCGAGGAAGACGACGCGTTTCTGGGTCACCAGAGCGTTGAAGAGCAGGATGATGGGGTGGGTCATGTGGCCGTTGCTGTGGAGGTGCGGATGCAGCGGGCCGAGGGGCGTCGACTGCGGACCCGAGAAGGTCTGGATGAGCTTGATGAGCGAGTACTCGCCCACCTCTTCGGGAAAGATGGCGAGCGGCACGCGTATCGGCAGCAGGATCTGGCGGTAGCCCAGTGTGGTATCGTAGAAGTGGGTATCGCGGGGCCGGCCCTTGCCGGGCAGCGGGCTGGGCTGGCTCGGCCGGCGGTCGACGAGCGACGTCGCTGATGAGCCTCGCCGCGTGCTCATCTGGATGGGCCGCAGCGAGGACGCGCTGTGCTTCTTCTTGAGCGAGCGTGCATCCTCGGACAGCGTGCTGCCGCTATCGGCCCGCGAACGGCTCCTGTCCACCGCCGACGACGCCTCGTCGGCCTGCCCGTCCCTGTCCTCGTCGGCGAGGAAGCGTTCTTGGAAGAGGTCGCGCCGATCAGATGCGCGGAGAATCAGCTTCTCGGGGCGGCTGAAGATGGGCGCCGACGAGAGGTCGAGCTGGTTGACGGCATCGTAGAGGCGTGCGAGGCAGTCGGTACCCGGGTTCTTGAAGTAGTCGTCGAGCGCGAGGAGCAGGACCGGTTTGAAGATGTCGATGTACGGATGGCGCGTGCCGATGGCCATCGACTTGACGAGAGCGCCGCGCCTCACCGAGCTGTCGTGCTTGGTGCGCACCAGGTTGATGACGTACGTCAGGCCATCCGACGACCAGTCTGCGTCCTTGCGCGGCTTGGCAGAGTCGTTCCTGTGCTGGCTATCCATAGAAGGGCCGCGGGAACCAGCAGCGCTTCCGACCTGCTCGGCCTTTGACGCGTCCATGGTCTGATGCGGCTTGAGGAAGAAGACGGTCCAGTCCTCGACGCGGGCATGGGCGCCATCGGGAAGCATGAGCTCGGCGAGCATGCTGGCGGAGGGGCGGGAAAGAGGAGGATCAGCAACCTTCGCGTCTCGCGATCGCGGCGAGTGAGGCGGCGGCTGCACTGTGCTCACTGTTCGTTGTAGCCAGTGGGTGCGGGGTACTGGTGCGACAGGGTCGAGCCCTTGTCGATGTCGAACTCGGCCAGCAGGACGAAGCGGCAGTGCCTCTGCGATTCGTCATCGTCGTCGTCGACGATGGCCCTGTCGTTGGCTGTCGGAAAGGAAGGCTGCGCGGGTCTCTGCTCGCCGACGGAGCTACTGGCGGTCGTCCTAGTGGCGTCGCCATCGTTGTCGGCAATCGTAGCGGACGGGGTCACTCTGACGATGGACGGCGCAGCAGCCGAGATGTCGACTCTCGCCATCGAGTCGACGAGCTCCTCATGAGCTTCCGAGGAAGGTGGCGGTTGCGGCTGACCCTGACCCACGCTGGCATCGGGTTCGAATGGCATGGCGAGCAGAGTTCAGGGTGAAGCTGGCGGGTGGTGCAGGTGGAGAGGATGGAGGCGATCCTCCGGTCCGGCCTGCCTTTGCTCCCCTGCCCGGTCAGTAGCGTCGCTGCCGTGGTGCCGTTCAGAAGCAAGGGACCCGGTCGCTTTCATCGGTCTCATTGGGCAAGGCGTGGCGAGAGCAGCGGCATGGCGGTATGGCTGCGAGTCTGCCGGAGGGGAGGGGAGGAGAGGGGTTGATGGAGAACAGACGACGAAGAAGGCACCCAGCCGGTGCAGCGGCCAAGATGCTTGCAAGCCTCGCCCAGCCAAGCCAGGCCAGGCCAGCCCAGCCCAGCCCAGCCTCGCCCAGCCAAGCCTGGCCAGACCAGCCCAGCTCGTTCGACGCTCGAGCCTCTCTCTGGCTTTCCTGGAGGGTGGGGCCGGCCTCGTAGGATTTCACTCGTGCGAATCCAGAAAGAAAAAATCCAGGCCGGCCGCCTGGCTGAATCGGCGACGGGGCGAGCCAGGCCCGATCGACCGAGCACGAGGGCGGGCCGCCCGTCGGCCTGACCGGAGCAAGCGTGGCCGGAGTTGCACGCGGCGGGCTGGCTGGCGCGGACCAAGACGGCGATTCCGGCGCCCTCCGCGCGACCCCCGCAAAGGAGCAAGCAAGCAGGCAAGCAGGCAAGCAGGCAAGCAGGCAAAGGACAGCGCCGATCCGCACCAGCCGGCTAACCGGGTGTGATGGCGGATGGACCGATGGCGAGCAGATACCACGCAGCAGAGGTAGGTGTCCACAGCAGGCGAAGCGTCATCCCCCCAGGGTGCTCGTCATAGGCCCACCATCCATCGGGCGCTAGAGCGCATCGGCTGGGCCAAGCCCCCACCAAGAAGGTTGAGCGAGGGCTTAGCGTAGATACGCTCCCGACGACCGACCGGAGGGCCAAGGCCACGGGGCGAGAGAGGGAGGGAGGGGGAGGGAGAGGTGCGGGCGACGAAGGCGGAGACGACAGGCAAGAAGGCAGGGGAGACGAGGCGGGGAGGGCGGATGGGCCGCCTGGCCGTGCATTTCACGCCCTTTCTGGCGGACAGCAGGCGGGTAGGCAGGCAGGCGGGGTGGAGGTTGGCGGGCATCGGCCTTTCCGGCTGGCCAAAAACGTCAGAGGGGGGCTGGCTGGCCGGCTTGGCTCGTTGGCTCGCCTCCCAGCCCGGTCGGTGCCCCGCCCGTCCGCCCGTCCGACTGCCTGCCTGGCTTCCCCGCCTCGCTTCGTGAAAGGCTCCAAGCAGCGAGGCCTACGGCTGGCCCCCGCCTCTAGGCCAGCCAGGAAGCCCTAGCCTAGAGGCCTGGCCTAGCCAGATGCTCGATGCTCGACCCAGACGCTCGATGCTGACGGAAGGAAGGCCAGGCAGGCAGATGGGCCCCGAGCCTACATATACCCGCTCGCTTTCCGTTCGAGCCAGGCTCGCCCTTCCGAACCTCTTCTCACCCGCTCCCAGCCGTGCTTCCCCATCGACCACTTCTATCCACGCTACCGCCGAGTCTCGCACAGCCTACCGTCCTGACCCAATAAACCAGCCAACCAGCCCACCAGCCACCCCAACGCCATCGCCATCATGTCCGTCGAAGGTGTCCGTGTCCTGGGCAAGGTCGAGGGTGACCACGCCGAGATCGTCACTCCGGAGGCCCTCCGCTTCCTCGCCGTGCTCCACAGGAGCTTTGAGAGCACCCGCCAGTCGCTCCTCAAGAACCGCCAGCTGCGCCAGACCCGCTTCGACGGCGGCGCCCTCCCCGACTTCCTCCCCGAGACGGCCCACATCCGAAACGACCCCACCTGGCAGTGCGCCCCTCCTGCTCCCGGCCTCCGCGACAGGCGCGTCGAGATCACCGGCCCCGTCGACCGCAAAATGGTCATCAACGCGCTCAACTCGGGGTGAGTGAAAGGCGCCGTTCGCGGGCGGGCCGAACGAGACGCGCCGTGGGAGCATCGCCAGCTGACCTCGACTGCCTCGTGTCCCTGACGTCCCGTCTCCCCCCTTCCCGTCCTGGCGCCCACCCTACGCTGCAGCGCCTACACGTACATGGCCGACTTTGAGGACTCCAACTCGCCCACGTGGGCCAACTGCCTCGACGGCCAGGTCAACATGCGCGCCGCCATCAACCGCACCATCGACTTCAAGCAGAGCAACGGCAAGGAGTACAAGCTCAAGCCCCAGGGCCAGACGGCCACGCTCATCATCCGTCCGCGAGGCTGGCACCTCAACGAGGAGCACATCCTCGTCGACGGCAAGCCCATGTCGGGCGGCCTCGTCGACTTTGGCCTGTACTTCTTCCACAACGCCCACACCCTCGTCCGCAACGGGTTCGGGCCGTACTTCTACCTGCCCAAGATGGAGAGCCACCTCGAGGCGCGCCTGTGGAACGACGTCTTCAACCTGTCGCAGGACTACATCAAGATGCCCCGCGGCACCATCCGCGGCACCGTCCTCATCGAGACCATCACCGCCGCCTTTGAGATGGACGAGATCCTCTACGAGCTGCGCCACCACTCGTCGGGCCTCAACTGCGGCCGCTGGGACTACATCTTCTCGTTTATCAAGCGCCAGCGCTACTCCAAGGGCGCCATCCTGCCCGACCGCTCGGCCGTCACGATGACGGTGCCCTTCATGCAGGCCTACGTCAACCTCCTCATCCAGACGTGCCACAAGCGCAGCGTCGCCGCCATCGGAGGCATGGCCGCCCAGATCCCCATCAAGGACGACCCCAAGGCCAACGAGGCCGCCATGGAAAAGGTGCGCGCCGACAAGCTGCGCGAGGTCCAGGCGGGCCACGACGGCACCTGGGTCGCCCACCCGGCGCTCGTCAAGATCGCCCTCGAGATCTTTGACAAGCACATGCTCGGCCCCAACCAGTACCACGTCCGCCGCGAGGAGGTCAAGGTGTCGGCCCTCGACCTGCTCAACTCCAACGTGCCCGGCCAGATCACCGAGGCCGGCGTCCGCGCCAACGTGGCCGCGCTCCTCGTCTACTGCGCCAACTGGCTCAACGGGCTGGGCTGCGTCCCCGTCGCCAACATGATGGAGGACGCGGCGACGGGCGAGATTTCGCGCCTCGGCCTGTGGTCGTGGGTCTACCACCAGCAGAAGACGGCCGAGGGAAACGCCATCACGCCGGCCTACATTGACCGCATCCTCGACGAGGAGGCGGCCAAGGTGTCCAAGATCGGCAAGAGCGTCGACGTCGCCAAGCGCTACATCGCCGACCAGATGCGCGCCAACGCACCCGACGAGTTCCTCACCTCGGCCCTCTACGCCCACCTGCCGCACAACCACGCCCCCGCCCGCATCTAAGCGGACGAGGCGCAGCAGCAGCAGCAGCCGCCCTGCCTCGCGAGCCTGTCCCGTGTCCCGTCACGTCGCCGATGTGTGTAATGTTATGAACGCGTCCGATGATCCCCGCTTGCGATGGCCTGTGAACGAGTGAGCGGTCGCCGGTGCGGTCGGCTCTGTGGGCGAGTGCCGTGGCCCGTGGTTGGTGGAGCGATGGTGAGCCGGCTGCTCGATGCTCGACGAGGCCGGAGAAGGTCGGTCCGAGTTCTGCCTGGCATGCCGCTGTCACCTCGTACGCGCCAGTGAGCAGTTGGACGACCTGTGCGTGGAGGCGGGGGCAAAAGGCAGAACGAGAGCAGACCACGGAGGTGCCAAGGCAGGCGGAAGAGAGGAAGAGGCAGAAGGGAGGATGGGGGAGGGGAGGGGGGGGGGATGCGTGTCCGAAGCCCATTTCATTCCGTATCGACGAGAAAGATAGAATGCAATGGAGCAAGAGAGGCAAAGAGGGGAGGATGGAAGTGGGCCGGAGAGGGACAAGAGCAAGGCGGCAGGGCAGAGCCAGAGGATCGCATCGCCCTAGGCAGGTCGGTGAAAGGGCCGTGGTCGTGGCGATGACGACGACGACGACGACGAGGAGGAGGATGAGCGAGCCGGAAACGGAGACGGGTACGGGCAAAGGGGAAAGGGGAAAGAAAACGGCGATCGTCGATGGCTCTATAATTGTGGTGGGTCGTGGGTGGGTGCTGCGATCGATGCGGTGGCGGGTCGAGAGTAAGTCGGAGACTGGGACGAGAAGGAAGAGAGAGAGAAGAGAGGGGCGGAGAGAGAGATTGGGAGAGAGGTTTGGTGGGAGGGCATAGGCGGGCGGCTGCCGATGAGCCGAGAATTTGGGGGGCAGGCGAGCAGGCTGGCGGATACAAGTACAGACGGAAAGCGAGACGGAGTCGCCGCTCTAGATCGGTCGTCGTCGTCGGCGGCGGCGGCGGCGGCGGTTGCGACGCGGTCGACCGTCGAGGGGGCGGGGCGGTATCGGGTGGCAAACGCCACGTCGGTTGAGCGGCGGTAGCCTCTGGCGCGAGGCCGCTGGATCGCAGGGCGGGCCAGGAGCAGTCAATCAGGCAGGGCCATCGTCGCGCTCCAGGCCCTTCCACACGGGCCGCGCGGGCATCGGCGGGCCAGCCGGGATCCTGGCGCCGTTGGCGTCCTGGCCGAGGGGCACCTGCGAGTAGTCGGCGTTGGCCGTTCGGGCGGTCGACGAAGAGGCCGTTGATGCCGACGACGACTCGGGCCGGCCCCCGGTAGCCGAGGCGTCATCCTCGCGCATCTCCTCCATCGATACGCCCAGGCTGGGGCCCTCGGGGCCGTCGGACGTGGCGCGCACCACCTCGCCCTCGAGGTCTCGCCCGAGACCGCCCTGCTCGCGGCTCGACCGTCGGATGAACATGGGCGGCTTGTCGGCCATGGCCTCTTCGAGCGCCGAGAGCTTCTGCGGTCGCACCTTCAAGCGAGACGGCACCGGATCCTCGGCGCGGATCTTGATCGGCCCGCCCTTTTGAGACCCGTTACGGATGGCCTTGGCCGCAGCAGTCGCCGCGGGTCGCGTGGCCAGCGTGGACGACGACAGCTGCATCGGACCGTCGATGACGACGACCTTGGACAGGGCCGGCTGCACCTGCGGATCGGCCCCGCCGGCCCGTGTCTCGGGCGTCTTTGATGCAGCCTCGGCCATGGCCACGACCGTCTCGTTGGAGTCGCGCTCGACCAGCTTGGGCGGCCCGCCCTGCTCGCTCGACGACGGGATGCGAACGCCGAGACGCGGGCTGTGCTCGCCCTTGGCGTTGAAGTAGTCGACCTGGGTGGGGGCCGCGATGTACTTGGACAGGCTCTGCCGCGTCGAGGGGTCAAAGAGCCACTTGACGAGCGTGCCCTCGAGGGCGGCGCTCTTGACGGGCTTGGAGAGGTAGTCGGACATGCCGGCGGCCAGGCACTTTTCGCGGTCGCCGCGGATGGCCGAGGCCGTCATGGCGATGATGGGCAGCGTGCGGATGTCGACGCTCTCAAACTTGCGCAGCCGCCGGGTGGCCTCGTAGCCGTCGCAGTTGGGCATGTGGCAGTCCATCAGGATGCAGTCGTACGGGTGCTTGGTCACCTCGTCGAGCGCCTCGAGGCCGTCCTTTGCGACGCGACAGCTGAAGCCCATCTTCTTGAGCGTCTTGAGCGCGATCTGGGCGTTGATCAGGTTGTCCTCGGCCACCAGGATCCAGATGTCCTTGCGCGGCCGCTGCAGCGGGTTCTCGCTGACGCCGAGGCTGCTGGTCGGCTCGTCCATGGTGACCTCGGAGATGGCCACCTCGTCCGGCGACGATTCAGAGCCCGAGTCGATCTGTCGCGCCTTGGCAAACGGCACCGTGAACCAGGCATTGGAGCCCTTGCCCTCGATCGACTCGAGGCCGATGGTGCCGCCCATCAGGTCGACGAGGTTCTTGCAGATCGACAGCCCGAGGCCCGTGCCGCCAAAGCGCCGCGCAAAGGAGGGGTCGGCCTGGCTGAAGGGCTGGAAGAGCTTCTTGAGCGTCGTCTGGGAGATGCCGCAGCCAGTGTCGCGCACCTCAAAGTGGACGTGGAGGCTGCTCGAGTTCTCGAAGGTCTCGATGACGCGCAGCGTGATGGAACCGGCGGCAGTGAACTTGATGGCGTTGGTGAGCAGGTTGGTCATGACCTGGCGCAGGCGCCCGGCATCGCCGATCAGCTGGCCCGTGTACTTGAGGTCGCACTCGTTCTTGAACTCGAGGCCCTTTTTCTGCGTGGCGAACGAGAGCATCTTTTGCGTGTCCATGATGACGACGTTGAGGTTGAAGGCGGCCTTCTCCAAGTCCATCTTGCCGAGCTCGAGCTTCTCGAAGTCGAGGATGTCGTTGATGACGGTGAGGAGCGCATCGGCGGAGCGCTGGATGTTTTCGGCAAAGTCCCTCTGCTCCTTTGTGAGCTGAGTATCGCACAGCAGCTCAGACAGGCCGATCACACCGGCAATGGGCGTCCGGATCTCGTGGCCTGAGGGCGGGCAGAGGGCAGCGGACGGATCAGGTCAGGTTGGGGCCAGTTCGAATGCGGCCCCGTCAAGGGTCGAGATGGGAATCGAGTCTGGGGCACTCACTCATGTTGGCCAGGAACTCGGACTTGATCCGGCTCGCCTCCTTGGCGGCGGTCTCTGCGGCGAGGGCGCGCGAGCGCTCGTTGAGCGAGTCCTCGAGCTTGCTCTCGGCGCGCCTTCGGTCGGTGATGTCGAGCGAGGCGCCGACGACGCCGATGATCTCGCCCTCGCCGCCGTCGGCGTCGTAACACTCCTCGCGCTGCGGCGTGTACTGGGTGCGGAACCAGCGGCCGTCGACCTCCATCTCCTGGACGATCGACTCGCCGGCCATGGCGCGCGCCAGCGCCTCGCGGATGCCCGGGGAGTCCCAGACGTCAAAGATGTTGCGGCCGATCATGCTCTTCTGCTGGGCGCGCCGCCCGCTGCCGCTGATGTGGCTCTGGCTGTTGGTCTGGCTCTCGCCATCGCGGACGTCCGGCTCGCTGCGGCCGTGGCTCGGCTGGGTCGAGTTCGAGTTGGAGAGCGACCCAGACATGGAGCCGGCGCCGTCCGGATCGGAGCCGTTGGGCGTCCCCGGCGCCAGCTTGAGCGAGCGGACGCCGGGACCCTCGGCGACGGTGATGATGGCGTCGCGATCGATGGCCCAGATGGTGACGTGGGCGTGGTTGATGACGCTCGTCAGCTGCGCCTGGGCCTTGCGGCTCATCTCGAGCGCCTTGACCTCGTTGTCGCAGTCGGTGCAGCTGCCGTACCACTTGAGGATCTCGCCCGTGGCCGGATCCCGCAGCGGCAGCGCCCGGCCCAGCATCCACTTGTACACGCCGTCGAACCGCCGGCAGCGGTACATGGTCTGGTACGGCTCGCCGGTGCGGAGCGAGTGCGACCAGCGCGCGGCGGTCTCGATCATGTCGTCGGGGTGGAAGACATTCTGCCACCCGACGCCCTCGGTCTGGTTGATGTTGGTGCCCGTGTAGCGGTACCAGCCCTCGTTGTACCAGTCGTGGTGGCCGTCGGGCGTCGTGGTCCACAGCAGCTGGGGCATCGAGTCGCAGATGGTCCGGAAGTAGGCCTCGCCCTGCTCCTTGACCTCGAGCTTCTTGTTCTTCTCCTTGGCCGTGACGTCGGTCATGGTGATGACGCCGCCAATGTGCTGGCCGAAGCCGCCGGCGTCGCGCAGCGGCTGGGCGCCGATCTCGAGCAGGACACGGGCGCCCGTGTCGGTGGCGACGCAGCCGATCAGCACCGGCTTGACCTTCTGGCCGAGGATGGCGGCGCGGTAGATGGGGAAGCGCTCCGGGTTGAACGGGGCGGTGAAGTCTTCCTCGTAGCACTCCATGACGTCGGTCAGCCAGGAGAGGTCGACCTGCGGGCCGTCCTCGCGGTCGACCTTGACGGGCGGCCGCTTGGGCATGTCCTGCGGGTTCTTGCGCTCAAAGATCTTGAGCACCTCGTCGCACGCCGTGTTGCGGACGACGGTGGTGCCGTCCGACGAGAGGGCCATCATGGGGGTGTCGCTGGCGTGGAAGATGGCCTCCTTGAGCGCGTCGACCTTGTTGGTGTGCAGGTCCGACGGGCTCATGCGGCGCTCGGTCATCCGCGTCGGCGTGATGCTGATCGTGTAAAACGCTTCGTGCAGCAGCGGCGCGCCGCGGGTGTCGAGGCCGCCGGCAGAGAGTGGCGGCTGCGGCGGGGGCTGGGTGCCTGGGGAGAAGTTGTTCTCGGGCAGCGGATCGAAGATCTTGGACGTCTGCGGGTTGAACTGCTCGGAAAAGACCTCGTCGGTAGGGTGCCACGCCGAGACCGAGACCTCGGCGTCAAACTGGCGCTGATTGTCCTGCCGGAAGCTGAGCCGGGTCAGGACGGGCGGCGCCCAGGACATGCGCGTCTTGTTCGACGCCGCCTCGTTGAGCGCCCAGCGGAACTCGTCCTGGGCCTTGTCGCTGATCAGCTTCTCCATCGTCTGACCCATGCAGCTGACGCCGGTGACGAGGAAGATGCTCTCGCAGGGGCGATTCATCATCCGGATCCGGCGATTCTGGTCCAGCACGACGATGGGCACGGGCGCAAAGTAGAGGGCCCGCACCGACTCGTCGAGGTCAAACATCCTGGTTGCCGGGCTGGAAAAGTAGCTCTGCGTCGGCTGGAAAGGGAGCGGCGTCTGGAGCGGACGGCCAGACAGTGCTGCGGCGGAGACGTGGGTGTTGGCGGTGCTAGAGGCGGTGCCGTTGCTTGCCGCCGACTTGCGACCACGATCGCCCGATGCCGCGCTGTTCGGGGACTGGGCGCTGTGGGCAGGGGCGGCGGCAGCAGCGGCAGAAGGCGGACGGGGAGACGACGGAATCGTGGAGGCGTGCGGTCCCGAGGAGCTCAATGCTCGGGTCGGGGGCAGCGGTGTGTACTGAGGAGCAGGTGCGGCGTCGCCGGCCGAGGTGGCGACGATGTGACCAAAACCGGTGTCGGCACCGCCGGCCGCGGGCAGAGGCGAGGAGAAGCGGGCCTTTTTGGGTATCGGAGGTGCCGCGACGACTGCGGCGGCCTCGGGATCGGTTGGATGGGCCGACCGCTTCTTGCTCGGGGTCTCGGACTGTTCCGCTGAGCTGGAGTGGGGCGGAATCGTGGGCGAACGAGGGCGGGTCGCGCCCCTTGGCTCTCGCGCGCGTTCGCAGGCTCCGGGTAGGGGAGCGCAGGAACTGGAGCCAGTGTCTAGGTCGTGTTGGATGCGGTTGGGTGGCGGCAGTCGGGCACCAGTCTATGGGCGCGGCTGCAAGGCGCTCGCAACTGCAGAATCAACGGCGGCGCTGCGATGGCGACAAGGGGCTGTGAAGAGCAAGCGAGCGAGGAAGGACGCTGTGTGGGGCCTGCCGACTTGTTGCAAAGACGTCAGAGATGAGAAAGGGCGAGCGAGGCGTGGGGCCGAGCAGCAAGAGCAGGGCAGACGGTGGGATGGGCGATGGCGGGGAGGATTCCGGCGGCCGTGCAGGCGATCGTTGCCGGTCCGGTCGTCGCGGGGTGGCGGTGGTGGTGGTGGTGGTGGTGGTGGTGGTGGTGGTGGTGGTGCTCGCAAGGAGTGGCGTGGCGTTGGAGTCGGAGGCGGAGGCGGCAGAAGAGGTAGACGCACGACGAGGATGTGGACGAGAGGTCGCGGAGACGAAGAGGCACCGCGGCAAGGCAAGGCCAGGGTGAGTGAGGCGGCAGCGACTGGGCAAGGCGGGCAGCCAGGCGGCAGCAGTAGAGAGAGAGAGGCTGGGGCGGGCACGACCAGGCAGGCGAAAAAGGGTCAACAGACGAGGGAAGCGAGGCCGCCAAAAGGGTCGCGCGGGCGGTCGAGTGACGGTGGCCGGGCAGGAACGAGCCAAGAGGGGTCCAGCCCGGGCACGGCAAGCCAAGCCTACCGTGCGTTGACTGGCCAAGCCAAGCCAGCAGAAGGCGGGCGAGCGGCCGGGCAGGCAGGCAGGCAGGCAGGCAGGCAGGCAGGCAGGCAAGCTAAGGCCCGACGGTTTCTGCGCCCGGGTTGGGCCCCTTCCTCTCCGCCGCCCGCGATCCGTCGCGCAGATCAAGCGGCGGGCGCCCGCCCGCGCACGAAGCAGAGTTCCAAATCGTCGGCGTCGGCCTGCCCTGACCAGGCCGCGGCCCTGGATCAGCAGGCTAACTAGGAGTTTCGATTTGGCCTGGCTGCCTGCCTGGCGGCAACGGCGGGCGCGCTGCACACACGCACGATATCCCGGATCGGCCGGTGCAGGCGGCCAGCAGGCAGGCAGGCGACCGCCGCCGCACGAGCGAGCAAAGCAAGCAAGCAGGCAGGCAAGCAAGCAGGCAGGCAAGCAAGCAAGCAAGCGGATGGGCAGACCCCGCCTCTTCTGGGGATGGTTCCCGTCCGTTTGGACGTCGAGCCGGCCTGCTCCCAAACTCGTTTCGTCTTGTCCTACGGGCGCCTACGGTGCCGTATGTACAGCAGGGAATCGAGCAGCTGGCTGGCTCGACTTCGCGCGTATCCGGGGGCCGAGTCGACGTCGTCGCCCGCGATCCATCGGAAGGTCCGGCAGCCTGCCTGCCTGCCTGAGCTGCCACCGTACCCTTGCTTGCTTCGCCCACCGGCCGGGACTTTGCATCGGTCGACGGGGTCCAGCCAAGCTCGGCTAAACCGGCGTGATCAGGCCTAGCCCGGCCTGCCTGTCTGCTGGCCAAGCCAAGGCTGGCCTCCCGGGCAGGCCGCCCAGCCAGCCTGCCTCGCCTGGCTCTCTGGCCTCAACCTTTTTTTCGCGCCGGCCGGCGGCCGCCGGTGCGTCGGCGGGCAGACGGGGCAAACAGCGGCCCGGACCCTGCCCGACAGCGCAGCGGCGTGGGTCCAAGCCGCCGGTTCTGTTGCTCTGCCATGCCATCATGGCCGTCGCCCGTCCGGTTTGGCAGGCTGGCGACCCCCCTTTTGAACCACACACAACGGATCGCCATGGGCAGGCCGGCTGATGCCGCTGCGGTGCGAGGCGCGTTCCTTCGCGTGTTTTTCTGCAGATTGCTAGAGGTTGCTGCGATGCGAGAAAGACGACGACAACGACGACGACGGCGACGACGACGATGGCGAGAGAGACGAGCGGGACGAAAGGGAAAGAGACGGGAATCTATGTCTACATCCCGTGACCAGGCAGGAGTACAGAGAGCTATAGGAAGAGGAGGGCGACGAGGAGCAGGGCGAAGGCTGGAGATCAAGAGAGGCTCGAGAGAAGACAAGCCCAGGGGGGGAAAGGCGAAGCGAATATGCACGGGTGCAGGGCCCGTGGAGGATGTCGGACAGGAGTGTGAGAACGAGGCAGAGGATGGGAAGCCGGATGTCGAGCAGGACTGTGGCTGCGGTGTATCAAGACGAAGCTTGAGGCCGAGGACAGGATGGAGGTCAAGGTCGGGTGCGACCGGTCGAACGAGCCGTGCGTGTATCGGGGCACTCTGAGAGGCCGGGCTAGGAGCGGAAGTGCGAGGAGCGTTCCGGGAAGCGAGGATCGCTGGCCCTCCGCTTGGCGTCGTGCTGGCTGTCCAGGGGTCGCGCGAACCACGGCGGCGAGCGGCTGCTGGGCCGCTGCGCGTAGGGCGGCATCGGCGAAGCCGACGACGACGATGACGATGTCGACGGCCCGAGCTGGGCCGAATCCATCAGCGAGGCGAATCCAGGCAGCTTGGTCCTCGTAGCCGCCGACGACGAAGACGGCGGAAGAGTGGGTACGGGTGGCGTGCAGGATTTTGCCTCGTCGCTGGTAGAGGTGTACGGGCTGGGAGTCACCGAACCGTAAACCGACGACGCGGGCCGACCCGTTACCGACGTCGTCGTAAAGCTCGAGCCGGACCCCAGCGACGACGACGAGTTGCGGTCGGGCAGGCTAGGCCGTCGAAGGTAAGGCGCGTCCATCGGTGCCGGTGCACGGAGCATTCGCCCATCGCCGAACGGGATGCGGTCAGGAGGCGGCGGTAGCATCGTCGCCACCCTCTTTGTCGCTGCGCCCGTCGCCGTCGCCGTCGCCGTCATTCCCGACGACGCTTGTGCAGCACCGTGGTACGACGACGCGTAACCATTCTCGTCTGCAGCCTGGTGGTGACGGGGACCAGCAGCGCCTTCTGGGTTCCAGCGCGGCATCGTCGGCCGGAAGCGATCCGCGGCCTCCCTCGCAGGCATCGCCATGGACCCGTAGCGGGCGTCAGGCTGCCCCCAGCCGCCCTGCGGATGATGCATCGCCGCGCTCGGTCGGTCGTAGGCTTGCGACGATCGCCAGTGGGCCACAGCATCGGACGGCACCGCATCTCCGCGGCCGTATGCGCCGGCGTTGACGTAGCGAGCGTAGAGCGGCGGCGCAGGTAGCGGCGGCGCAGGGTTGGCTTCCGCGTAGCCGTCGTCCTGGTCGGGCTTGCGCTTCTTGCCGACCACCTTGGGGTTGATGGGCTTGCGCAGCTTGTACTTCATGCCGCGGTCCACCAGGGCGTCCATGAGGGACGAAGAGGCGCCGAGGCCGGGGTGCTTGCGTCGCTCGTGGACCTCGAACGCATCGCTGTAGACCGAGGCCACCCTGCGGATCAAGAGCGAGACCCGATCGAAGAGGTCGAAGCGGATCCGGTAGATGCCCTTGACCCGGACGCCCATCTCCTTGAAGACAAAGAAGCACTGGTCCTCCCTCGACTCGATGCGCGAGTTGAATGGGCTCTGGACCGTGTCGCCAACCAGGGGCTCGTTTCTCCGGGCATCCGGGAGCACCTCGTCGTAGGGCTCCTCGGCCTTGACCAGCTGGGCACGTACAAAGACTTCGGGCAGCGACAGCGTGTGCTCGTCGCCGCTGCGGTTCATCAGCAGCTCGCAGACCGGAGGAGGATCCAGTGGGATCGATCGTGCTGCGGTGTCGGAGGCCGGGAGGGAAGAACAAGGCGAGGGAAAGGGGTTCGGTGCTCAGCGAATGGTTGCTTGGGAAAGCAGCGGATGTCGGGAGGCCAGACGTGGTCCGTTTGGGTCCTCGAGGGCTCTCACCTGTCCGCAGTGCCATCTGGCTGCTTCCGATGGCCAGGCCCCGCTTGGTCTGCTGCCGGATGGCGAGCGAGAAGAGGGGCTCGCGCAGCGGGGCTTCTCCGTAGAGCGAGAGTCCATAGCTGACGCTCGGGAGCTGGATCCACTCGGACTGGTTCCGAAGGCGCGGGTAGCTTGCAAGCACCGTGTGGCCACCGCCTGCCCCGCTTTCGGTACCGTGGCCGTTGCCGTTGCTGCTGGACTCGCCGTAGCCGGATCCAGGGCCGAAGCCGTCGTACCGCAGCCTGTCGCTGCTGGCCTCTCCACGCTGTTGGGATTGCGGAGTCGCGGGCGACGAGACCGAGTGGGGTGCAGTGTAGCGACTGCTTCCGATGCCACGGTCGGTGTGGCGACCGTTGGTCGGAGGCGCAGAGAGCGAGTGGCCATAGGCCTCAGCAGCCCTCGATGCCGAAGAGGGCCCCGGGCGCTGAGTCCCGGGCCGGTCATCTTGCATCGCAGAGCGACCGCGGAACCCGGTTGGGTCGTCGGTCCACCCAAGTGGACGAGGTGCTAGGCAGGCGACCGAGATCTTGACGGCTTTTCCACCGCGATGCGGCGGCGGCGACAGCTTGCAAGTAGGGTGGCGTCGGAGCCTCGGGAAGCAGGACCGACAGGTAGATCAGAGGAAGCGCAGCGAGAGTATGGCGAGGTCGGCGTGGACAGGAACGCAGGCCCTCTCGCGGAGCTGGAGACGATGGAGGGGGTGACGGTGGAAGTGACGGTGGCTAGGTGCCAGGCAGCAAGGTACTGTGATGGCGGAAGAGAGAGAGAGCTGTCGACGAGGGCGGTGGCGACGCTGGGAAGAAATCGGCTTCCTTGTCTCCGGTGGCGATGGCGACAAAGAAGAGCTGGCGGCGGAGGTGTCGGTGGCGACAAGGAGGGTTAGGCGGAGCTGGTGATGTCGTTTGTGGTGGTACACGGCTATGGACAAGGAGAAGAGCCAAGGTGAGAGGAGGGTGCTGGCGAGTTGGCCGTGAGAATCTTGGTAGGATGGCGGTTGGGAGCCACCGGCTGCTACCTGGGAGGGGAAAGGCGATGGGGTGGGAGTATCGAAGAAAGAGTGAAGCCGGTCGAGAGTGATAGGACTAGGGGACCCCGTCGGCAGTCGGCAGCATGTTAGGTGCTGGCGACCAGGGAAGCAGGGCAAAGGACATGACCGAAGCGCAGAGGGGAGAACAGTTGCCGGCTGTCGTTCGAAGAGGTGTGCGCGCTATCGAAGGCAGCTTCGCCGATCCGGGCGAGCAAGGCGGCGACTGAAGCAGAGAGGCGGCGGACTGTTTGTCCCCTCGGAGACGGCGACAGGGACTGAAGCTGTCGGATGGCCCGTCGGTGGAGCCAGGGCTGCAGGACGGCGCTGCAAGTGCGGGGGTCCCCGTTACCGGTCGAGGAGACCGAGGGCAAGGCGACGTGGAGCAGCGTACAGCGGGAAACGATCCGGATCGGCGGACGGTCGGCAGGTAGTGGTAAAAGGGAAAGAGGAGGAGGTCGACGCCGAGCCTAGTAAAAAAGAACGGTACGGCGCGAGGCTCGGTGGCCATTGACGCCGACGCCGTCGCAGCCGGGAAGAGTCGCGGGTAGTTTCGGTAGGTACGGTAGGTACCACAAGATGCCAAAGGCCAGGGTCCAGACCTTTCGGTCGAGGGGCAGGAGAGGGCAGATCAGCTCTACTGTGGCGGCTAATCGTGGTACGGCGACGGCAGCGGCAGCGGCAGCAGCGGAGCGGAGCGGCTTATTGTTGTCGTTGTTGTGGGTGGTGGTGGTGGTGGCGGAGGAGCTGCCTTCTGCGGTCATTGTCGCTGGTGGGTCCGAGGACGTCGAGGGGGCTGGCGAGCGGATGATTGATGAGGTGCCAAGGCGAGCGGATGCGGGAAAGGCTAAACTGGGTGCCTGCCGCGACCAAGAGAGGTCGGGACGAGGAAGGGGGCAACGGGAGAAGATGAAGGCGGGATGGGTTGGGTTGGGACGGGTTGGACATACAGCAGTGGCGCCCCCCGAGGTCGGGTCACGGTGAATGGATGGCGGCCTATTGTTCGCTCGTTAGAGGTCGTCAGTCAGTCCTGCATGGACATGGGGGGGGGGGGGGGGGGGGGGGGCGCTTCAGACGAGCAGGAAGCAAGCGGCAGGCAGGGCTGCTGGGGTGAGCACGGCAATCCGAGTCGAGAACCTCGGTCGGGGAACCAAGCGACCATGCCATCGGCTGCATCCTTTTCCCTCCGCCCCGTCCCCGTGCGGTATGAGGAGGTCGCCCTGTCGCGATGTCAACAGACGGCGGCGGGCAGACCGAGATTTCAGGAACCAGCAGGGCCTGAGGCGGTCGACCTCGTCTGGCGGCGGGGCGTGGCCATGACTTTGACTGTGCGTACACAGGGGGGAGGTTCATACGCCACGCAACGGCACCCTTCCGCTGCCGCCTGTCGCCGCCCCTGCCTCCTCGTCGCCGACGCCCTTTGCCGTCTAGCTTGTGTGACAAGATCCAGAACCCTGCGGGCCAGGCCTCTTGTGCTTGTACTTGCCTACAATTGGCTCACCTTGTGGGCCACGCTGAGGAGGTACTTACCCGCCGTGGTGCGATCTGCCTCGATGCAGGCCGACTGAGAGCGAGAGCAGGCCGCGAAACCCCCGCCGCGGATACCCGCATCGCAGGATAGGTCAGGGCAGGGACGGGGGAGGGCAGGCAAGCAAAGGGGCGAGCGAGCGACCCACCCGAACCAGGCAAGCCTACCGGCAAGCATGTCTGGACTGGCCGATCCGGGGCGTGGGGTTTCGATCTTGATCATCCGGCCTCTCGGAAGCGGTGCTGTGCGGCCGCCTGCATGGTTGGCTCGTCGCTCGCTTTGCGGTGCGCAAGAAGGGCACGAGGCAGACAGGACCGAGGAAACCCGGCGAGCCGGCGAGCCAGTAAAAAGCCTAGCGTCGAGCCTAGAAGGTGGACCCAGATGCCTGGGCGCGCCTCACCACACAAAACCCGCCAAACGTCGATGCCCTCGTGCCAAGGTTTTGCCGACAAAAGGGCGACGGCCATCATCGAACGGCTCCTCGTGCGGTGGTGTAGGCACACAGGCAGGTACCGGTACCACAAGCGCCTTTCCCTCCAGGTGCCAGTACTGTACCGGTGCCATGTAGCAAAGCACGCTAAAGCAGCCGCACTCGCCGTCGGCCATTCATCCAGCCTCGATCGCCGTGAGAGTCCAGCCTTGATGGTGAGTGACTGCAGGTCGGCTGTGCCGCGGAGAGACCGTACGTGTCGGGATAAGGGCTAGCGCTGTCACAGCGACGCTGGTCGCTGCGACTTGATGTTGATCGGCAACGACACGTACAAAGTGAGGCGTACCGTATCGCATGCTGCTGAATCCGAGGTCCGCTGCGGCGTCGAAGCGGGAGCCATCTCGACGTCGAGGCCGAGCCAGCTTGCTCACCGTTCCGAGATCTCGGATCGTCGCGGACACTCGCCTCCGCCTCGCCGTACGTGCCAGGTGTACGGTCGCGAGTCCCTGACGGAGCATGTGGGTACGATGCTGGCTGCGAGGGACAGATACGAAGACGAGTTTGGAAACGACGGCCGAACCCGAAGTGGGGTGGATCGCCGTCAAATTGGTACGGTAGGTACCGTATGTACCGTGATTGCAGTTACGGGGGATGCCCGCTACTCACCTGGCCTCTGACAGGTAAGCTGCCTGCCGTACCGCGACGAGATCATACGGACGATACCGGTAAGGTACCGTAGGGCGAGGATGAGGAGCAGTTTGGGAGGGACGGAGAAAGGCGGTGGAAGGCGACAGCTCGCCCGCTGGCCGCCGCACCTGCCTGCTTCCTTGCCTTGCCCTGCCCTAGCTTGGCTAGTGAGCCAGCTTTGTGGGTCCGATCATCAGCTGCTCGTGCGTGCCGGGCTCAAGGTTAAGCATCTGCCCAGAGGTACCGCACCTACGTGCGTGCGTGTGCTGTCGTCGTACCGTACCCCTGCCCGCGCCGTTGGTGGCAAGCAGAAACCTTTTGCCCGCCTGCCTTCTGCCTGCTGGTGGGCTGCGGTGGCTCCGTTTTTTGGGCGAGGGCCTGGAACCTTTTCTGCGCGGGACGCGCTCGCCTTTTGTCGCCTTTTTCCAAACGCCGGCATGAGGTCGACCCCGTCGCGGTGGCTGCCTGGGTGCGATTCCGATTCGAGCCTGGCCTGGCGAGCCAGCACCGACGGACCAGCAGGTCGTCGAAAAGTGAGGCTCTCGATCTTGGTCACGATCGCACTCGATCTGTAACCGGACACCATCGAGATCGATGCTCGCTGGCAGCACCGTGAGCACGGCACGGCAGCAGCAAGCAACGCCAGCTCAGCATTCGCCACCAGCCTGCTCGACGCCACCTACACATCGACGGAGGGGAGAGAAGGAGATGTGTGCCATGCACAGCACGGTCAGCACGGCCATACGCGGAGCGTTCGAGCAAGCAGCCAGCAGACCAGATCAAGCCTGGCAGCGCACGCTCGTGGTCCAGACCCTGCCTGCTACGCTGTCGTTCGGCCCAACAAGCAAGGTTAAGCGGCCCCACAACCAAGCGACCGGGTGCCTGGTTCGGGTTCGTGAGTTGGTTCGTTCGTCAAGCTCACTCACAGCCACATCGCTGGTGCCTCCGCCGCCGCCGCCGACGCCGAAGCAGGCCAAGAAAGCAAGCAAGCAGGCTTGCTGGGCGGGGGTCGGGGACCCTAGGGCCCCGTCGTGGCCCACCTCCGGCCGGCCTTTGACAGTCGGAACGGAAGCCGGTCCGGCCCTCGGTCTAGGCCCTGGCCCGCAATTTCGCCAACTTGGAACGCCGAGCGCCACTAGAAAATCCCGAGGGCGAGGGCCCGCCGTGCCCGCCAAGACGGAATACAAACCGCCTCAAGCCCCATTACAGAGAACCAACCTGGCGCGCCTGGGAATTCAAATAGCCGCCGCGCCCGCTCCTTTTTCGACTTTTAAAGCGCGCGCGCGCGCATCAACCTGGAATTCGGACCAGGCGGAGCGTCGACGACCATGGCCACAAACCACGAACCACGACCGCGACAACGTCGACGTGGTCTGGACCATCACGACGGCCGCCGCCGCCGCCGCAGCTGCTGCTGATTCACCATCGAGTAGGCCCGGCGCCATCCGTTGGCCGCCTCCCTCTGCACGACAAGCGCCGCTTTTCGCCGAATCTTGAACGTCTCTCGACGCACAATGAAGCCAACGGCGGACGAGAGGCAAGGGCGTTACGGTACGCAGCTTCGAAGAGGCGCGTTGGCGGCTTGCTTGCTGCCTTTGAACAAATGCTGCGTCTCGAGGAGCCAGCGGCGCCCGACGGCCGACGAACACAAAGGAGAGCAGCGGCGTCGTCGTCCAGGCGTCCCAATTCGAACGCGCGGAAAGGCCGCGGAAAGCCACGGACCCCCTTTCTGCGTCGCTATGTGTTACGGCCTGCAGGCAGGCGCGCGCGCGGCTATTATTCTACCCCGACGCAAGCAGCAGCAGCAGCAGCAGATGCACGGCATCGTCGGAGATGGACTCGAGCACTTCCCCCTGGTCTAGCGCTCCCGTCCCTGAGGAGACGTACGCTACGCCGCTCCAGCAGGCGTGCGGCGCAGCGTGGGTATTCGGGCCTAGCGAGGCGCCACGAATCGCGGCTTGCTTCCAGCGAAGAAGGCCCAGGACGGACATAGACGGTCGGCGGTCGGTGGCCTTGCCCATGCGTCGCGACTTGGCTCCGTCCTCTTGACGAAGGACGGCCTCGTCAAGCGCCTCTGCAGCCTTGCCAAACGAGGCTGCAGAACCTTGAACTCAGGTTCGTACCAGTCTTGAACTCAGATTCGTACCGGTCGAGGAGGATGGCCGCAAGAGGCCGCTCGGACTGGTCTCGCCAAGGGACTGGGTGCTGTCTCGTCCGATCGCCCGGCTTGGCTTGGCTAGGTCGGGCTTGTCCTGGCCTGCTTGCTCGTAGGCACCGCACGACGATAAAGGAGGTGCGTCGGTCGAGGCTGTCCCGCTCTCTTGACGATCGCGTCCACGTTTTCCTTTGCGGCTAGGTACGGCCCTCCTGCCCGTCTGTCTGCCTGCATTGCACAGCGACCGCGCTTAGGCTGATGCTGCCCGCCGCGGCCTTGTCGCGCTGGCGCCGATGCCCTGCAGGTGCTGTAGGCGGGCGACCTGACGAGCCTGGCGATGTGCTGCGTCCGCTCGCGAGAGCGTCCCCGCCCCGTCCAATAGAAGAAAGCGGACAGTCTTCAAGTGCTGGCTAGCGTGCACGTCCGACCTGGCGCAACGGGTGGCCGTCCACTTGCTCGTTTGCGTGTCCGCTCGTCCCGCAGGCAGGCACGTCGACCGGAACGGCGCGGAGATGGAAAAGATCTGCGTTTTTGCAAGAGGACCGTACCACCTCCTCGCAGAAATGAATCAGCGAAGAGCGGCCGCGTACGGCATGCAGCCAGCGCACTGCATGCCGTGGAGCGTGCGGTATGCGTCCGGCTCGCCATAAAACGGGGACAGGGCAGCAGCACCAGCAGCGGCAGCGGCAGGAGTAGCATGGCGCCCAACCACGCAGAGCCTTTGCGGAGCTGCTCGCATTCCCTTCTCCGCTGGCTGCGTCCGGCCGCAGGCGGCGCGCGCCGGCTGCACGCCGCTTGTGAGGGCTACCGGTATGTACGGCCCACCTCGACCCGAGAACTCGGTCCACGCCAATGGCCTGGGCGAAACGCGTCCGTCCCGTCCTTTTGCCTGCGCTCGGCCAGCAGCGATGCCTTGTGTCCATATGGCGTGACTGGCCGCCAGTCCGCTCTTCGCTCGCTTCCTGCCCTTGCTTGTCGGGCTCCGAAAACGTCGAGATGCCGCAGATCGACCCCGCGTGATGAGCGCGGCCCCAGGGCGATGTTGCGCGCCGCCCGCACTTGTCCGTGATTGGTCCGTTGCTTTGCGACCAACTTCAACGAGCTCGCCTGCGATATACCCGGCATATGCTGCCTGCCGAGCTGCAGAGCTGGTGGTCGTGAGAGCCGCTGAGAGTCTTGCTCCGCCGCCTCGGGGGCCAAGCCAAAGGCCTGGACCGTTCTGTAGATGCTTGGTCGCGCCCGAGAGCTTTAACAAGGGAGAAAAAGGAGCTTGAAAAAGGATGAGCTAGTGGCGTAGGGCGAAGTCCGTGGAGAGACGGAACGATCCCCCCGCAGTTGGTCTGGAGACGATGGCAGATGCTGTTGGCCCTCTTCCGTTCCGAGACTCGTCGCGCGGTCGCCCGGTAACTTGGAACAGGTGCAAGTCAAGGCTGCGTGGCCGGCAGCTTGCCATGGAGGAAGGCAGCCACGCTGTCGGCCGTCCATGTGTTGCGCTCTGCCTCCTTGCGGCGCTGCAGTCTCCTCCGCCTCTCGGCCGGCGTGTCTTCTGCTTGTCCCGCGGCGGTCGCACCACCCACGCCCATTTCTTCGTCGCCGTCGTCGTCGTCCTCGTCCTCCTCGTTCTCCAGCTCGTCTTCCTCACGCGGCAATCGATCGCGCGGGTTGAAGACGTTGCCGTCCTCGTCGGGCGCCTGCTGGATGTGATACCACATGCGCAGCGCACGGAGTGCCAGGACGTCGTGCTGCGCAATGTCCTCGTCGAGCTGCTCAGCCTCTGACAGGCTGGGGACACCCGGGTTGGCCTCGGCCTCGAGCCTCTGCTTTTCGGCAGCCTGCTCGTCGTACTCGCGGACCAGCTGCAGCTCCTGTTCGAGGATCTGCGGCTCCGGGGCCGTGCGCAGAAGGGCTCCGAGGAAGTTGAGGTTCTCCTCTGCGATGGGCAGCAGCGGGTGGGCCACCAACGAGGGCAGCTGGTTCTTGGCGTCGCGGTAGCTGAGTTCCGGCAGGCCGTCGGCGGTGGCCTTGACGTCGTCGTCGCCTTCAACGCCTCCCGCAGCGCCGCTCCGCCCGCCGAGCAGGCCGCCAAAGAGGGCCGAGGTGCTCTCCTCGACGCCGGCGTAGAGGTTGGCACTGCGGGCCTCGGCCTCGAGCACCTTGTTGAAGGCGATCAGCTGCGACGACAAAAAGTGCGGCGATGCAGAAAGGAGGGACGCATTGATCGAGTAGGCGTGCGAGAGGAGGTTGGAGTACCGGTTGAGCAGCGAGGGCCTGCGATGCGATGGGGAGGCGAAGCCGGCGGGCAAGTTCAGTCCAGTCCAGTTCAGTCCAGGTCTGGGTCGATGATGACCTCGGCGGGGAGAGAGCGCAGCCTCACCATTCGTCGATGCCGGGTATCATCTGAGTCTCTTCTCTCAGCGTGACTATGGAAGAGATGAGCGACTCGAAGCGCTGCAGCAGGATCTGGAGGTGGTCGATGGGCGGCTGCACCCGCGGCATCGTGGGCGGTCCAGGCGGCGGCGCCACTGCGTTCCTCTTGGCGGTCGCCATGGCCGATCGAGCTCCGTACGCCAGACGCTCAGCGCATTCAGGATCTGACCCGTTGTGCCGTACGAAGATAGGGATACCAGGCAAAGTGAGAGACGGATGGCGGGGCTCGAGATGGTGGGGACGAGAAGAGCAAGGCGCAGCAGCGACGAGTGTGGAGGTGTGGCTGCCTGGCCGCCTCGCGGCCCGCTGCTTTGCGCTGCCCTCCAGCTCGGACCCGAAAATCGCTCCAGCATCTCGCCACACTTTGGTGCCTTTGCCTGAAGCTCGACCCTCTGCTCGCACATCGGCAGTTCTCGTTCAGTATGTCGTCTTGTGTTGTGGACAGTTCACCTCGGCAGAAAGGGAGCGAGACGTCGCCCGGTTCTCATTCGCCAATTCGCATGGGGTTCAACGGCAGCGTGCGCTGTCTGCTCATCGTCATTCACGATTCTCGCCAGGCCAGCATACTAGGTCACTGGATCTGTCTTGGTGCTTGCTGGTGCGGCGGACGCTTTCCGGTGTTCTCTTACTCCGGTTGACGCACTGCATGCTCGGCCGATGTGCCCTTTGATATCCTTCCCCCCCCCCCCCGCNCTCCNCGCTCGCTGTCCGCTCTCGTCGTCCGTCGTCCGTCGTCGTCCGTCGTCCGTACCGTACCGTACCGT